GTAATATTTCTTTTCATTAAAAAAAGCGTTTAAGGTTTTTGGAAAAGGAGAAAATCTCACCAAGTACAATTATGAAATAATGAAAAAAGAACCTGATCATTCTGACAATCTAAGGTGGGATTAGCTTTATCACATACAACAAACAGTTCATTCCAGGGCACTGCTCTCCTTACGAAGTTTTCTTCCTCCTACCCTCCTGCAGTTGAAACCCAGTACTAGTTGTCCATTTTGCTATGGATGTAAAACCAGTTGCTTTCTGGGATTTCTTTATGGAGTTGAAACCTGTTCTTATATATCCCCTTCCCAGTCTTCCTTTCTGCAAGTTAAACCACCATAGTTCTTGATAAGTGTTTTTGTACTGTGAGGTATTTTCCTGAGCGTGTGCCAAGGTGTGGTACCCAAAACTAGCCACTCTAAGCCAGCAAGTTTATCAATTTTAAGTATGCAGCTGAATATGTTGTTCACCTTTCTTGCAGGAGTGTGGTGTTGCCAATTCATGTTCAGCATGTGATGCTCTATATAACAAAGCGACAAATGTAGAATACTACAGTAATTTGGGTCATTTGTTTAATACAAATACATTTTTTTCACAACAATAAGCAGATATATTACTTCTGTTTCCCTTACCTTCTGTCTTTCAGTACACATTCACCCACAAGAACATACAATTTTTCTTTTGCAAAAGAGAGGGAGTTAAACAAGTACCACAAACTCATAGTTCCAAATATTATACACAGTAAAATATTTTCATCATAGAATAAGTTTCATTGCATTATTAGAAATTATAAATGGTTTGTTCTGGTGATGGGGAATTACAATTTTTTCTACACAACAAAAAATAAACACTGCTTACAGATACAGCAGTGTGTGAATGGCACAATTGGACTAGTTGAGAATCTTCGTAATGCTAGTGATAGTCAAAAGTGCTGTGTTTATGCCAGTTTGAAATAAACTTCATAATGCTTTTAACTTAAAACAGGAGAAGCAGCGTGCATGTTCACAGGTTAAGAGTATCTTGTTTAAAATTCCAGATCTCATCTGACACCAGATTACTTCTACCTACCTTGATTACAACTTGCTTAAACAAGAATGCAGATTAAGCTCTTCTCCGTAATGGCAGTTCAGAGCAAGGTTCTGCCCTTATGGGTTTAGCCAGGCTAAATTCCGCTGTCTGCGTGTTTGCTTGAGGTGCACTGTGGCTGCACAGGCAGTTTGATACGGATCTTATTTGATATGTGTTGTGGTTTAACCTGGCAACTATTAAACTAATATAATGAATGCTTATCACAAATTTGTTTTAACATGCTCTGGTCAGATCTGTCATTATCTCGAACCCTTCGTTCCCCATGTTGGGCACCAAAAAGGACTGTTGTGGTTCAACCTAGTAGGCAGCTAAACACCACACAGCTGCTCACTCGCTCCTTGTCCCCCCCACCCCCCCCAGTGGGATGGGGGAGAGAATCAGAAAAAAAAGAAGAAGGAAAAAAAGAAAAAAAAAAAGTTAAATTCATGGTTTGCGATAAAGACGATTTAATAGGACAGAAAAGGAAGGGAAAATAATAATAATAATGCTAAAAATATACAAAATAAGTGATGCACAATGCAATTGTTCACCACCCGCTGACTGATGCTCAGCCAGCCAGCAGCAGTCGCTGCCCCCCCTGGCCAACTCCCCCCCCAGTTTATATACTGAGCATGATGCCATACGGTATGGAATATCCCTTTGGTAAGTTTGGGTCAGCAGTCCTGGCTGTGTCCCCTCCCAGCTTCTCGCTGGCAGAGCATGAGAAGCCGAAACCAGGACAATATATCATTTTCATTAAAAAGTCTTAGAATGTGTCTTAAAACTTTCAGTATACTGTTTTTTGCAGGATAGAATCCTGTGGTCATTCATTAAGTTAATACAGAAAATTGTGCTTTGTGTGGGAATAAAAAAACATTTGTTGATAAGCAGCTCCCTAGTGTCTGTATTGGTGCACCTTCCTTATCATGCAGACCTGTATGCAAGGCATGTTGGTGTGAATAGCTCCTTGCCCTCTTGAAGAGGAACCAACCTGCTTCAGAAACAAATTCCAATCCTGCATGAAATCCCTGAAAGCTCTAGAATATCCGCTGCACCTAAGAAGAGAAAAGCATGCACGGGCTAATACTGTAATGCTTTAAAAGGTTAAATACTGCTTCGAGCCTGCTGTAATCTCTCTTGCTGCTGAGTTGTCTCATTGCTGTCTCAGCAGACACTGTCCCATTTTGCTCCTTTTCCTGCTGTCCAAATTAATATTTCAAAGGGAGAGGAGGAATTTCAGCTGAAGTCTTTCTCCATTCTTATAGCTAACTAACTGTAAGCTCAGTTGCACATGTAGTTGAGTGCCAAAATAGTGTTTCGAAGGTGAAGTTGTTAGTATAAAATTTTGCAAGTTGGCTGTTCTGTTGCCGACTATCCAGTGTCTTTTTAAAAATGTACAGTAATCTTGTTGGATGCTATAAATTTGCTTTCAGAAGCCTCAGGCATTTTTTTTCTTTGAGTTGAATTTTATACTTGTTCAAGAAAACCCAATGTGAATTAGTCTCCACTAAACTGTCAAAACTGGGGATAGCGTACTTTCAGTGGGGTCATGATGCTACAGCAGCTCAAAGAACAAGCTGGCTGAAGAAGCAGGGTGACTGTCACTTAGTAAGAAACTTTCTGATTATTTCAGAAAGCTCTTAATTCTCTTCCATAATAATGTTCCTTGTCAGTCAATCTGGCTATGATTCATCAGGTTTTATTGTAAACATCATTCCAAACATTTAGATGCAGCTAGTAATTTTAAGTGTCTAACTTCAGATATCATGAGATTCACTTTTTAGCAAGTAGATTTACACTTTTTGAAAACCATGCCTTTGCAGACTATCTTAAACGTGCAGTTATGAGGCATTCCTTAGGTACTGTCGTCATTTTCTGAAGACCACCTGAAGTCTCCTCCACAATTACAAAGAGGGAAATTATTTGGTTACTCTTCTGTATCATTTCAAATGAGAAGCTGCTACAATTCCAATTTTCACTTGTATAATTGGAAAGTTATCTGATATGAAAAGTGCGTGTCATTATGCGAAAAAACTTAAACATTAATCCAACTCACCTGGAGTAACTTAGAGCAAATATTAATATGTATTTAGGGCCTGTTCAAGCACCAAGATTTTGTGTCCTGTCTAGACAGATGACAGTCACTTAGTCACAGCCAATTTACATGAGCAATTCCAATACAAAAGAACATAATGGTCTGATAAAAAACACATTTTTTGCTACTACTGCTACTTCCAGTATTCCCTGAGCCTTAAGCCAGTAAACACATTCACAAAGGAATGCCTAATATATAAACTCCAATAGATCTTAGGCCCAGCACCCTGGATATTTGCAAGAATGGGATGATTCTGCTATTTAACTGTAGATATTTGAATGTGTAAAGAGGAAATTTACCATCAGAAACTGCAACTTCTGTAGAAATCTAGTTCACTTGTAATTGTCGCAGATTTCCCCCTTTGAATGAACCTGTGCTCTCCTATCCTCCTTACTCTGGTTCTTTATTTGCTTTTCCTCCTTTACCTAAATACAAGATCAAAAAAGAACTTTTAACTTTTTTTTTTTTCAAATATACATTACGTTCAGGCCCCAGACTTGTCCACGCCAGTCCGTAACTACTCCAAGTCAATACTTGCTGTTGGGTCCTGATGGTAAACATCACAGGTATGAGAAGTGAATCACAAAATTGGTTCTTTATATATAATTCACCCCGTTGGACACAGTATTGTATCTACATTCATTTATCTATTGCACCCTTTAATGCTATTCACACTTCATTTTTATATGAGAATGCTCAAAACACGAAGGTAACAACTGAACTGTTGAATCTCTAACACCTCAAGTTTACCTGTACAGAGGGAAACCAGTGATTTATTTTTTCAATCAGGAAGATAAAAACTAACTTTTCAGAACAAGGAGATAAAAACTAATGTTCTCTTAAGATACGTAGGTATATTCTCTTATGTCTACTTTTTGTATCATGAATCTTAAAAAATAAAACCAAAAGTGGCTCCCATCTTCCCTATGTGTCATCCTTTTTCAGACCTCTGATAATATGCAATTTACTTTTGTGTGATTCTGCAGTAAACTGCATTTTTTTTCATTTATAGTTCTGCCTCAAAACTTTGCTTATCCAATTTACGTCTAATTCACTCTTATCAAGTAAAATAAACAGCTGAGCTGCTCTTCTAAATGTGTATCTACAAATTCTCTCCTTTTGCTGACAGCTATACTTAAAATATCTGTAGCTTATGGAGACATGAGTTTATACTGGTTGGAATTGCCTTCTTTTAAAAAATTCAGGCGTATTTAAAAACAATGCTACCCTTCAAATGTTTCACATATCCTTAGTTGACACAGCTGCCCAAACGTTCAGGCTCCAGTGCAGTCACATGAATGTGTGTTACCGTATGAGGCTTAGAGAGTGAGTGCTGCGATACAGCTCTTCATCCTTCAATTCAGTTAATGCATATAACTTGATTGGTACCCTTTTGAAATGTATCTTTAAGACGATAAATAGCAAATACAACTTCTAGTAGTAAACAGATGAAAGGTTTTTGTTTTCTGTAAACAAAATGATTACATCAGGTCTGTTTCTACTTTCCCAGCCATCCAATTTAAAAAAAAAAAAAAAAAAAAAAGGTACTCTTGTCACATTGGTTTGGCATTGTCTGTTAAACCTGTTCTCTATTGCACTTTCTACACTTCCACTTTCACTACACTTGCTGACTAGTTGAGAAACTACTTCACGAACGGTCACATTCCATACAGTAACAAGTTGCTTTGCTCGATCCATTTTCCTTGTAGGGTTTTGCTTTTTGTGGGGGTTTTTTTGTTTTTTTAACTGAAAAAATGCACAGTCATTTCTACTCTCTTTTAGCATTTGTAGTGTAGAAAACACTATGCCTTATTCTGCAAGGAAGAAACACTGCTGCCTCTGTCAAACTGGCATGACCTCAGATGTCGTTTCTTCAGCTGCCGGATGAGAGTTTGTACCTGTCTGTGCTATTGGCACGACCACTGCGTCTTTGACGTCCGAGGTCTGAGTGCACGAAGAGTTCTTCTCCTCCATTTTTTTGGCGGTGTCTGGGCAGTTCTGAACAAAGATCACTCTGTTGTAGGCTTTCAACCTGCGCCACAGCTGAACATAAACCTTACACTGCACGTACATGAAGACCAGGCCCCCCGTGAATCCAATGGCCACCACAACGAGTTTTGTCCAAAATGGCCATTCAAGGACACCTTTGAAATAAAATGGTTATATTTGTTACCATTGTTATACATTGAATATCAAGGACTGAGTTCCAGTAAAATATTTTGAAAAGCCACTTGCTAAGAATTCCCAGGTATGTATTGGGGCAGTTGTGGCTCAAGTAGAAAACAGCAGCAGTTTCCTATCCCATAGGCCAGCCAAGAAACTACATCTGCCTCCCACTTTTTACTGACTTCACCACAATTTAGTCAAATAAGAAATGCAAGGCCACTGTCACAAAGGAAGCATAATGCTTGATACAGTCAAAACCAAAACATTTTACTGTTCTTCAGTAATATCCCTGTATTCAATAGCTTGCTTAAGCAAAAATACAAATACCAAAACAGAGATAACTGGATATCTAGAAATATTACGCACATCTTCAACAACTGTTTTTTTTTAATCATGCTAGAAGCATGATCCTGCTTAGGGTACCTGGAACACCAACATTTACAATATTATTACCTGGTCCTAGCTTCATCCTGAAGCCAGGTTATAGTAAAAAAAGGCTAGTGGAAAGGGCTCTTAGCTCCTGCATCACTTGCCTTCATTGGCTTCTTTTTCCTGCTGTCTGTGCAACCCC